TGAATGGATAAGCAGAATGTAGTGTATACAAACAATGGATACTACTGAGCCTTAAAGAGAAATGAAGTCCTGGTGCATGGATGAACCTTGAAAACATCATGCTAAATGAAATAAGTCAATCACAAAAGGACACATGTTGTATGAACTCACTTATATAAAATAAACAAATATATAGAAGCCAAAGATGATTAGCGGTTACTAGGGGTAGGAGGGAGGGGTAAAGAGGGAATTTTTGCTTAGGGCATGTTGAGTTTATGATAATAATGATTTGGAAAAAGCAACAGTGCTCAGAACTTGAAGAATGTAATCACCGTCACTGAATTATACACGTAGAAATAGTTGAGATGGCGTATGTTTTGTTATATACATTTTCACCACAGTAAAATTTTAAAAAATCACTAAGGGGATACAGGTGAACTGCAGTGGACTGAGTTGTACAGGAAGCCCAGCTAAAAGTACATGAGAGCACTGAGTAACCAAGCCTAGTTCCTTGGCTGGGTCCATGTTTCTCCTCTTTGCTTCCCCTGTTGGTACGTGCAGCGTGTCACAGTCACTCTGTGTTTAGTGTCCTATATGTGACCTTCACTTTATCTGCCATTATTGGAGACTGACAAAAACCAAGTGTGGTTCTGTGTGGATTGCTGTTGTCAAGATAGCAGAAGGGCTGTGACCCAGACAGGGACTGTCAGGTAGGTTCTGATTGGCTGCAGCAGTTTATCAGGATATATCAAAGATCAGGGGAGAAAGATAAGATCAACGGATGAGACAACTGAGGACAAACAGCTCCAAACTAGTCAGCACTTTCACGCTCCCTGCTGGGTCCTCTTATCACAAACCACAATGTTGAGTAGCCTGACCTCATCTCCGCCTAGCCACACTGGCCCCTTTTCTGTTTTTCTGCCTCAGGGAGCACATCCCCACTGCAGGACTTTAGTCCTTGCTGTTTCCTCTACCTAGAACGCTCTTTTACATGACTGGCTGCTTCTCATCAGTTCAAATATCCATCACTTCTCAGAACAGGCCTTTCCTGACAGCCCTATCTAAAAAAGGCCATGCCAGTCCCTCTCTAGATTTTCCTGTTTTACTTCCTCATAAAGTAATTCCATTTGCAATTACCTGGTTAGTTAGTCTATTGGCTTACTGTCAGTATTTTTACATACATCCTTAGTAGCTAGAGCAGCATCTTGCACAGAGGAAGGGCTCAAAGCATTCCATGAACAGGAAGAGTGATTGCAAATGGTGTGGTATTATGGAGAGGAACCCCACATGAATAACTTACTGTGAATCAGTCTGAATTAGACTTGATATGTTGCACTCCCACTCAAATAATACAGCTGTACATAAGGTCAATAAGCTTTATACTTCTGCAAACCAACTTAGTCTGAATTCTCCCTTTACTCCAGCAACTCTAAGGAACCCCAGCACTAAAGATGACCTAATACCTCTGACTTGGACGACAGAATGGAGATAAAAGGGCAAAAAAGTAGGTTCTGACCTCAATGGAGGATCAACAATCTTCACTGGAATCATTAGCTAACAAGGTTTTACAGGCACATCCAACGTGTATCTCTTCATTCCACAAGTATTTGAGTGCCTATTATATATGAGAGTCTGTGTTTAGGTTTCCTCCTAAAGACAAACTTCAAAACAACTATTTTCAGAAGAGCCAATCTTGCCTACACTCAATCTTAATAGCTGAGAAGGGGTGGGATTGTCCAAGGAGGTGAAAAGAGGCTACTGAGAGACTCCTGAGGTCTTGGAAATTGCCCTGGTACCTCTAGAAGAATATTCTATAGCTCTTCCCTGGGAATGGGGAAAAGATGACCCTCCCCCAGTATTTAGGATTATGGGAACATCCCTATCTGGCAATATTTGCCTTTCTAGTAAGTTTCTGTTGTTCAACCAAACACAGATAGTAACGTGGCACAAATTAACTCAGTAGAGACTAAAAGGCAATTAGGTTGCCTTCTTTTCATGTGCATCAAACAGTCAAAAGATCTTCCCAAGTGTCTGTTTCAGGACATGCACCATGTGGGTTAATGAGGGCCAGCTGGTAGGAATATAGAGAGATTGCTTGGGTACCAAGATGAAGATTTGGAAGCAGTGAGTAAAGAGCTAAATGATAAATGATCTTTTCTGGAGGAGGAATTTGGCTGAGGGTCACTCCTCTCGGGTCAAAAGGAAAGAATGAGTCTTGTTGGTAGGGTGACCAGTGTCTAACCAGTGGTAAGACACACACACATTCCCTGAGGAGAGACAAAGGTATTCCCTGTGTTTCCATACCTTCACGTATCTGCCTCAAAGGCACCACCAGGGATGATGGAGCAATGTAGACCCCTATGCAGGCCGGTGAGAGAATTACAGTGAGGAGAGACAATGGTGCAGGCAGGGCACAGCTCACTGAGAGAAGGAGTAAATGGGGAGGCAGACCCAGAACCTAGCTCCTCCTGACTCCCCCCTTGGACTCGGAGCTTTTCTGGATCATCTGCCCTGTGGTCATAATTTGTAAGAACGGATCTGATGGGCCAGTGGAAGTCATGCAATAATTCAATTGGAGCCTCCTGAAAAGAGAACAGGACATTGACCTGGTCAGGGGCCTGAAGAGGAAAGATGGGGAAGCAGAAGGTGAAGTAAGAACACAGGGAGTAAAAAGCTGATGCAAGTACAAAATTGTCTGCAATAATTGCTCATGGAAAAGAAATATAAAAGATTATTAGGAATGCAAAAGTAGGAAGAATCCTGAAAGAACAATACAATTTGGAGTCTGAGAGAGATAAATTCAGTTTGTTGGGGACAGAGTTTTATGGAGGATCAAAAGGATCAAACTACCTCAGAAAAGGTTCAACTATTGACCTTCCTCTTTTTTGACTACACATCCCTTCCAGATATAAAAGCTGTGGAAAAGAATGAGGGTCCAGTTAGTCAAGGTTTCCACCTGCTTCTGAGACCTGACATATTGGAAGGCCATATCTACCTCCAGGAAAAGGCAAGTCAGCCAATTTGCTTATGCTCAGAGATTACGTTAGCAAGGGCTAGGATAGAAGGAAGGCATATAGATACTTATGAAAAGGGAGGAAAATGTGGGATTTATTCTCCAAGGATGAGAGTGAAGGGGTCAGAGAAATGGAAAGGGGCCAGGAAGAATCTCTGGAGACTGATGCTATGGAGTCTATGGTGCTGACGTGGGCCTTTCGAAGAGGTGAGAGCATGAGGAGAACAAGAGATAAGTTCAGCGCCAACAAGGCAGGGTGTCTCCCTGGTCCTCTATCTCTGAGATTCTCAAATGTGGGAATGAGATACACAGATAGGTCACCAGTTAGTAATATGCTACCACAAATAGGTGGATCCAAGTTTTTTTTTTTTTTAATGAATCTTTTCAAAATAATAAATTAGAGGAAATTTAAGGTAAAACTTTTCATTTTCATAAATGTCATGCTATATGGTTTCTCTCTCACTGCTGTCGAGTTGGATCTGACTCATGGAGACCCCTCTTTGGGTTTCTGAGGTGATATCACTACAGAAGAAGATAGCCCAATCTTCCTTCTGAGAAGTGGCTGGTGGGTTCAAACTGCCAGCCTTCTGGTTAGCAGTCAAATGCTTTAGGCACTATGCCATCAGAGCTCCTATCGTTTCTCTAAGGGGAGAGAAAGAGTGAATTTGGAGGTAGCATATTGGGGTCTATGACAGCCCTGGTGAAACCGCTGATTCTGTGTTATGCAAATAGAATAAGATCAGAGGGTAGTGATGCTTAGATGAGCTGGGATGGTATTCCCAGAGTCACACAAGTGATCTGAAGCATGGCTGGGATTTCAATCCTGCGACAGGTCAGGACCCTGTCATTACCCCACCCAAACCTATAAGTTTTCTTTGAAAGCTTCAGCATAGAATCAAGAAGCTGAGCTTGAACTAACCTTGGGCTTAACCTACTTTTCTCTCAGTTTTAACCAAATGTCCATTTTCAGAGGTGAATCTGAGAATGTTGTGTTCAAGCCCAAACACTTGGGAGAGAGAAAGTAAAAAGAAAAGAAAGAGAAAAATGACACAGTGAGACTAAGAGAGTTCTATTTGGATCCGGGGAAACTCAGAAACAGTCTCAGTTTACAGCCTTTTTGTGATAAAATACCTGCTTCCTTCTCCTCACTTCATACATCCATTTGATTCTCAACAGTTATTTGTTGAGCACCTACTATGTGCCAGGCAAAATTCTAGGTACTAGGGATACAATGCTGAGCAAGAGAGAGCATGTCACTGTCCTCCTGAATTGCCTTTCCTAGTGAGGACTTAAGGAGCTCTGGTAGCATAGTGGCTAAGACACTTGCCTGCTAACCAGACGGCTGGCGGTTCAAACCCACCAGCCACTCCTTGGAAGGAAGGTTGGGCAATCCTACTTCCGTAGTGATACTGCCTCGGAAACCCAAGGAGGGGTCGCTATGAGTTGGGGCCGACTCGACGGCACATAACAACAACAACAACAACAGTGAGGACTTAAGGAGCTCTGGTGGCATAGTGCCTAAGGCATTTGACTGATAACTAGAAGGTTGGCAGTTCAAACCCACCAACCACTCTACAAAAGGAAGACTGGGCAATCTACTTCCACAAAGATTTACCGCCTCAGAAACTCAAAGAGGGTCACTATGAGTCGGAATGGACTGATGGCAGTGAGTTTGTCCTTTTTTTTGGTTCAGTGAGGACTTGGAGACTTCAGAACTTTTCTTGTGGGAGCTTCTGGAGCATTAGGATCCATACAGGTGTAACTTTTCTCTGGTAGGGGAGAAATGGGCAGAAAGAAGGAATCTGGTAGGGAAAGGAGACCTTCTTCACTACACAAGATGGCCAAGAGGAAGCAGAACAGTAGCCAGTTTGAAGCTTTGGTAATAATCACTCAGGGACACGAGGAGAGGGGCTTGCAATGAAGCTGAAAATGGATTCACTTTGGTTTGGCATTGGGAAGCCCATGATCAGAGAGGATTCTGACCTCACCTTTTGTCGCCTCAGGAAAGATGATGCCAAGTTCCCGAAACCTGGGGCTTCTCTTAATCTACGTCATATCCTTTCTCATTGGTCTCCCTGCCAACCTCCTGGCCCTGCGGGCCTTTATGCAGCGTGTCCGCCAGCCCCACCCTGCACCCATCCACATCCTCCTCCTCAGCCTGACGCTGGCAGACCTCCTGCTGCTGCTGCTACTGCCCTTCAAAATGGTTGAGGCTGCATACAATTTCTTCTGGCCCATGGGGAACACACTCTGTGCCCTCACGGGCTTCGGCTTCTACGGCGCCATCTACTGCAGCACGTGGCTCCTGGCAGGCATCAGCATCGAGCGCTACCGCGGCGTGGCCTACCCAGTACAGTACAAGCTCTCACGCCGGCCTCTGTATGGAGTGATCGCTGCTGTGGTCTCCTTGGTCCTGTCCTTTGGACACAGCAGCATTGTGATCGTTGTCCAATACTTACCAACCAACAACACAGAAAGTCATGCTGCAGGCTTTCCGGTCTGCTACGAAGGTTTCACCAGAGAGCAGCTGGACATGCTCCTTCCTGTGCGGCTGGAGCTGTGCCTGGTTCTTTTCGTCATCCCCATGGCGGTGACCACCTTCTGCTATTGGCGCTTTGTGTGCATCATGCTCTCCCGGCCCAAAGTGGAGACCCAGAAGCGCTGGAGAGCCGTGGGGCTGGCTGCTGTGACTCTCTTCAATTTCCTCGTCTGTTTTGGGCCCTACAATGTGTCTCATGTGGTGGGATTCTTCCAGGGGGAAAGTCAGAACTGGCGCGCATGTGCTGTGCTGCTCAGCGCTCTCAACGCTTGCATTGACCCCTTAATTTTCTATTTCTCCTCCTCAGCTGTGCGCAAAGCCTTTCATAAATGGCTGCAGAGGCTGCAGAATTGGTGTGCCTCACTGGCAGGGTCCTGGAGGAGAACTCAGGAGTGGGCCACAGAGAAAGGAGAGGGGAGCTTAGGTGTGACTAATGTTGACTTCACAGGAGACTAGATTTTCCAGTTTGGTGTTGCATCATTTGGTGGGGGGGTGCACTTGGGCTTAAAAAGTGTGTGTGTGTGTGGGGGGGGGAGGCAGTTGTGCTTAAAAAGTGGAACAAAGAAGTAGAACGTGGATAGGTGTTCCTATACCCAGTTTAAGAGGCAGTTGAGAGTGTGTTTTCATATTGCTCTTTGAGGTTTATGGCATTTCCTTATTTTTGTTTGGTACTGTGGTGGTGTAGTGCCAACCAGAAGGTTGGCAGTTCAAACCCAACAGCCACTCCCTGGAAGGAAGATAGGGCAACCTACTTCAGCAAAGATTTGCTACCTCGGAAATCCAGTGGGGGTCGCTATGAGTTGGAACCCACTTGAGAGTGGTGATTTTGGTTTTGTGTCTCATGAGAGGAGTCCTAGTGGAAGTGGTTAAAGCACCCAGCTAACCAAAAGGTCAGTGGTTTGAACCCACCTTTAGAAGGAGCATGGCCCTACCTACACCTTGATTTCAAACTTCTGGTCACCAGAACTGTGAGAGACTTAAGTTTCTGTTGTTTTAAGGCACAAAGTTTGTGGTTATTTTTTGCAGCAGCCTTAGGAACTAATACATTAATATAACTACACCAATTTTGTTGTTGTTGTTGTTGTTGATATTTGCCTGTTACATCTTTGTCCACCTTTCTACTTTCAATATTCTTATGTTTTAAATGTATAAGCAATATATATAAGTTTGGGATTTTTAAAATCTGGTCTCAGGATTTGACAATGTTTGTTTTTTAACTGTACTATTTTCTTCACTTACATGCATTTAGGTTTATTTCTGCCACCTTATTTTTTAAACACTTTTATTGAAGTACATGATGTACATAGTGAAATATATATGCATGAGTATATGGCCAAATAAAAACTACACAAGTCAGATGAATGATCATAAAGTTAGTATTCCTATTAAAGTAAAAAAAGAAAAAGAAACATCTATTACCTGATTTTGTGCAGTTTTCTCCACATTTTAATATCTCCTTTTTCTCCCTACTTGCCTTTCTTTAGGATTAAGTTTGTTTGTTTTTCATTTCATTTATTTCTCCACTGACTTGGCAATTATATACTCAATTTCTATCAATTTAGTGGTTATCTTAGAAATTTTAATATGAGGTTCGGAGTTCTTCAGTTGGTTCCTCCATTCCTTCTTTCCTATTTCCCTTGAAATACCACCCATAAGGAAAAAGCCAACCCAGGTGGCATTCAACTGTGTGAACAGAGTGCAACAATTCTCAAGCTGTAGTCTAAAGACACCTGGGGGACCCAGACACCACCTTTCTGGGAGGTTAAAACTATTTTCATAATGCTATCACAATGTCGACAGCTTTGGTACTCTCGTTCTCTCAAGAATGTACAGCAGAGTTTTGCAGAGATAGCATGACACACAGGACACAACAGATTGAATTCAGAGCAGTTAGGAGAATCCAGCTGTCTTCTGTTAAGCCAAACATGAATAAGATTTGCAAAAATATACACAATGCCACTGTTCTCACTAATTTTTAAAATATAGCTATTTCCCATAAAGTATGCTATATGCATTAACATGTAATGAATGGTGTAATGGACTTGTATTAATAATTAATACATTTTTTAAAAATTCACAGTTTTGACTGGTACACTATGTGATCCTCAGCCTATATGACTATGAGACCAGAAGAACTAGATGGTGCCCGCCTACCACTGCCAACCACTTGGAGGGGGATCTCTGTAGGAGATCCTTGATAGAGAGGGAGAACAATGTGGAACAAAACTCAAAATCTTTTGGAGGAGGAGAAAAAAAAAGGGACCAAGTTTGCTGCTCTGATAGAACCTGGTGGAACCACTGAGACTATGGTCTCTAGCTGCCCTTCAGGTCTGGAATTGAATCCGTACCTGTGGCTTCCAGCCAAACAAAAGACAGGCATATGAGTTGAACATGTACCTGAGGTAGATACACTCCTTGAAGAGAACAATCATGGGAGAAAGAAGGGCTGCTTATGCACAGGGAGACAGCTCAGGGGGCAGCAGTGCATGGAGGGATGGACACAGGGAAGAGGTAACTATGGGGAGGAAGTGGGAAGGAAGCTGTTGCATTGGGGTAAATTGTAGTCAATGTCATGAAACAATGTGTGTGTGAACTTCTGTATGGAAAGTGAATTTGCTCTGTAAACTTTCACCCAAATCACAATTTTTTTAAAAAATTGCAGTTTTAATTTCTAATACAATAAAGATCAATATGTATAACTTACATAAACAAATACTCTTTGGGGTTACTAGTAATTTTTAAGAGCACTTTGAGAACTGCTGATCTAGTGAAATGATACACTATGCTTGTTCTGCTATATATATATATATATATATATATGAAGCTCTGGTGGCATAGTGGGTAAGACATTTGCCTGTTAACCAGAAGGTCAATGGTCCAAACCCATCAACTGCTCTGTGGGAGGAAGATGAGGCAATCTATTTCTGAAAATAGCCTGGGAAACCCAGTGGGAGTCACTATGACTCAGAATCACTCGATGGCAGTGTTGTTGTTGTTAGGTGCTGTTGAGTTGGCTCCAATTCCTAGTAGCCTTACGTACAACAGAACAAAACACTGCCCAGTTCTGTGCCAGCCTCACAATCCTTGCTATACCTGAGCCCATCACTGCAGCCACTGTGTCAATCCATCTCATTGAGAGCCTTCCCCTTTTTTGCTGACCTTCCACTTTACCAAGCATGATATCTTTCTCCAGGGAATGGTCCCTTCTGACAACATGACTGTGATAGTTGGAGCTGTGTGTCAACTTGGCTGGACCACAATTCTGTGTGGTTTGAGCTGTTGTGGTGTGGGTGTTACCATGATGAGGTCAGATGATTATGTTTTGAGTGGCCAATCTGTTGAAAGGGAGTTTCCCTAGGGGTGTGGCCTGCTTCCAGTATATCTGTGGACATCCTGGGAGAGGAGACATTCTTCTGTGGATCAGGATTCTGTTGTGCTGCCTACAACTGTCTGTGAGTGAACAACCACCATTTGGCCTGGAGATCTTGGATTTGTCATTCATTGGAGTCAACAGCTGGTGTACTGCCTGCCAGCCTTGAGCTCCTCAGCCCCTGTGGCTGCAAGAGTCAGGAAAAGCCTCCAGCTTGACGTTTGATCCAGGAACTTTGGACTTGCCAGCTTCTATAAGTGTGTGAGCCATTTTCCTAAGATACATTTCTCTACATATACATATATATAAGCTTTACTGGTTTTGTTTCTCTAGAGAACCCAGTCCAACACAATGACCAAAGTAGGTGCAATGAAGTCTGGCCATTCTTGCTTCCAAGGAGCATTCTGGCTGCAATTCTTCCAGGACAGATTTGTTCTTTCTTCTGGCAGTCCATGGTACTGTCTATAATCTTCATCCACACCACACTCAAAAGCATCAACCCTTTTTTGGTCTTCCTTGTTCATTGTCCAGCTTTCACATGCATATGAGGTGATTGAAAACACCATGGCTAAGGTTAGGTTCACCTTAGTCTTCAAAGAGACATCTTTGCTCTTCAGCACTTTAAAGAAATCTTTTGCAGAAGATTTGCTCAGTGCAATACATTATCTGATTTCTTGACTGCTGCTTCTACTGGTGTTGATTGTGGAACTACGTAATGTGAAATCTTCGACAACTTCAATCTTTTCTCCATTTATCATGATGCTGCTTATTGATCCAGTTGTGAGGATTTTTGTTTTCTTTATGTTGAGGTGTAATCCATACTGCAGTCTGTAGTCCTTTATCTTCATCAGTAAGTGCTTCCAGTCTTCTTCACTTTCAGCAAGCAAGGTTGTGGGTACGTATCACACGTTGTCAATGAGCCTTCCACCAATCCTGATGCTGTGTTGTTCATACAGTCCAGTTTCTCAGATTATTTGCTCAGCGTACAGATTGAATAAGTATGGTGAAAGCATACAACTCTGACACACTCCCTTCCTGATTTTAAACCATGCAATATTCTCTTGTTCTGTTCAAATGACAGTCTCCTGGTCTATGCACACGTTCCTCAGAAGCACAGTTAAATGTTCTGGAATTATGATTATTCTCAATGTTATCCATAACTTGTTCTGATCCACATAGTCAAATGCTTTTGCACAGTCAATAAAACACAAGTAAACAGCGTTCTGGTATTCTTTGCTTTCAACCAGGGTCCAACTGACATCAGCAATGATATCCCTCACTGCACATCCTCTTCTCAATCCAGTTTGCATATGTGGAAGCTCTTTGCCAATGTATTGCTGCAACTGTTTTTGAATGATCTTCAGCAAGATTTTACTTGCATGCGATGTTAATGATATTGCTCAATAATTTCCACATTCTGTGGGATCACCTTTCTTTGAAATGGGTACAAATATAGATCTTCTCCAGTCACCTGGCCAAGTTGCTGTCTTCAAAATCTCTCGGCATAGCCAAGTGAGTGCCTCCAGTGGGACATCCTTTCTTGAAACATCTCAATGGGTATTCCATCAATTCCTGGAGCCTTGTTTTTTGCCAATACCTTCAGTGCAGCTTCAACATCTTCCTTCAATAACATTGGTTCTTGATCATATGCCACCTCCTGAAATGGATGAACATAGACCAATTCCATTAGTGCATGTATCTGTAGGAGCTGTGGTGGCATAGTGTCTAAGGCATTTGACTGCTAACCAGAAGGCTGGCAGTTCAAATCCACCAGCCACTCCTCAGAAGGAAGGTTGGGCAATCTACTTCGGCAGTGATACCACCTTGGAAACCCAAGGAGGAGGCATTATGAGTTGGATCTGACTCCATGGCAGTGTATATGTGTCTGTCATTATACCAATACCAGGCAGTATTGACTACTGTGGCTGTATAGTAGGTTTTGAAATCTGGCAGTGTGAGAACTCCTACTTTTTTCTTCTTCAACAGTGATTTGCTTATCTGAGATCTCTTTCCTTTCCATATAAAGTTAGTGATTGTTTTTTCTATACCTTAAAGAATGTTGATGGGATCTGGTTTGAGATTGCAT